TAACGGCATTTGCTGTTCTTGAACAAGACCCAAGTTTAGTGCCCAGAACCCACACTGGGCATCTCACAACAACCTGTTACTCCAGCTTTAAGAGATGGCATTTTATAGTTCTGCACGAACGTATTCAGTGATAGTTTGGGGCCTGTGTGGCCCATGGGCTGCAGGTTAGGTTAAACATGCCTACTACAACACTTTACATGTTCTCACCTGTCTTCCATAGAATCCTCTCTTCTGTAAGGTGAGTTCCTAATAGTGATTTCCATTCGGTGATCCCTCAGCTCCCCCTCCTCAAGGGAATCCCTTTTGGAATCCCGGTCATCAGACTAAGAAACAAAGAAAAATGAATCCTTAAGTCATTTTCCTTATAGATAACCTTCCTAACTTTTGAAAAATATCTTGTTATGTATCTCAGGCTGGCTTTGAATTCGAAACCTTCTACCTCAGCTCCAAACTGCTGAGGTTACCTTACTACTAAACATATCTTCTTACTTTTTTTGAGACAAGGTCTCACTATATAGCACTGACCTCCTGAAGTCCTAAGTGTTGGGATTAAAACTGAAGTTTGCTGAGTAACTTTAAATATATACTTTGCATGGCAACATCACAAAATACAAGGTGACTTTTGCTCAAATTTCATGTAATTAACATCATGTTTTCTTTTTGTAACTCAAAACCCGAGAACAGAAAGTTAAAAACACTATATATGATAAGGGACATGAGACTGTGCCAAGAATGTTAATTTTTTTACGAGCCAAAATTAAGATCTAAGTTGGACTTTACACATCAAATACATCATACAATATTCATATATACATTTCAAAATGATCTCTCTCTAATTTTATCAAAAGCAGTACTTATGTCCAATAGCCCCGAACCACTGACTATGTGATCATACAGGCACGAAAGTTACAAAGCACTCATTTTATCTGCAAGGCCAGTTCCCTCCATATTAAAAAAATACTTGGCAATGGTGTTATGAATATACTAATCATGAAAGGAGAAAAATTAGTTTGCTTGTAATAAAGATTCTAGGTTCAGAACATTTTATTTTTTAAGGAGATCCTCATTTAGAAACAGCTTTGGGGGCTGGAGAGATGGCTCAATGAATAAGAGCACTGGCTGCTCTTTCAGAGAACGCAGGTTCAATTCCCAGCACCCACCTGTCTGTCATTCCAGTTCCAGGGCACCTGACACCCTCACACAGACATACATGCAGGCAAAACACCAATGCTCATAAAATTATAAAACAAAAAGAACAAAAAACCCCAAAGAACTAGATACAGCTTCAGTGTGTTATCAATCTGCCTTCAGTGTCAACTGAGTATACGAAAGTTTTTGTTAATTTTAGAATAGATTTTGGGCTCACCTGTGACATTTGGAAGTACAAAAGAACTTCACCGAAGAAGCGTTGTTCTAATGGAAAAATGAGGGCAAAGAAATTAAATCTCCTTTAAGAAAACCACTTACTTAAAAAACATAGCTTACATTTTTTAAGCGTTTTATCTCTGCTTTCTCCTCTTGTTCTTTCCTTCGTTTCTTTTCCTGGAGAATTTCATCTAATGTTTTCACTTTCCAAGAGTCCTTTTCATCACCCATTTGAGTTAAAACACTGCAAAAAGAAAGATAATTCAAGCAACCTCGGGGCACAGAAAGCTATGCTCTGTTGCTGTCTATTCTGAACACTTAAGTTTAATCATTAGTGTTTCAGAATAAGTCCCGGAAGTCCGGGTAGGCAGGAAGGATTCTGCCTTTATATTTTTTTTTCTTTCTGTCATTCCTTAAAGGTTTTGGGCAACTCAGTTTTTACCTCGGTTCACTTTTCCGTAAAACGCAATCATCACCATCCACGTAATGGTACCGTTCCAGGATGAAAGACCATCCCGGTCAGAGCTCTTATCTCAGTGCCTTAGGTGTCAAAGGGCTGTGTGAGAACGCTCCAGGACGCGGGGGGGCCTGGGTGACGGGTAAGATCAAGGGGTCCCGTCAAACCCTGGCCCCTGGGTGCGGTCCCGCAAACATGAGGCGGGGGCTGGCTCCGGGGCTCGCCAGGGCCCGCCGCCTCCACGGCCCGTAGCTCTGCGGAGCGAGGCCGAACGCGGCAGCACTGTGCCGCTAGCCCGATTCTTCGGGAGCACCGTCAACCCACGTCTGACCTCCCGCCGCCACTCACCCCTGCGCCGCCGTCGTCGCCGCCGCCGCCGCAGATCCCGGAGTCTGAGAAGAAACTGCGCCCGGCGCGCGCCAGGAACGTAGTCACTTCCTCCTTAGGCGCGGCTGATGACGTAAGGCGGGGCGGCCGGAAGTGACGCCCGCCAGAGAGACTCAGGGTCAACGAGCGTCTAGCACCGCCCTTGGGTGTCTCTAGCTGTGGACGTGATTCGGGACCGCCGAGGCCTTGTTTGGCTGTGCGTCTGGGGAGAAACTGAGCTTGTGGCTCCCTCACCTCCACGATGGCCGGCAGGACTCGGTAGCATCGGCTACTTGATCTTCCACAACCAGGCGTTTATTTCTCTAAAACTTACACGAGGCCTTTGGTTTGGGCTAAGCCATGCTAGGTCCCCTAAAAGTGGAGTCCCATTAGAGGGTCAAACCATCAAATGGAAAAGTCTTTCCGGTCTTCCCAGGACTAGTTACATGGGTCATGATGAGAGTCCCGCGTTCAAGAACAACATTGGAACGAATCCAGTTTCCTCAGCCTTCTTGTATTTAAAGCCAACCTATTCTGCGTGGGCCTATTGAAGTGACTGGGTGTTTTATTTTCTCTGAGACCAGGTTCAGTATGTAGACCTGGCCTCAAGCTCAGAGAGATCCTCTTGTGTGTACAACCATCTTTGTATTTGTTTTCTGTTCATTCTAATTGCAGAACTACAAAGTTAAGATTTCCGAAATTGTAATTTTGTCTTGATACGCTGAAACAGGGCAGGTAGAGCTTTACAGTGAGATTTTAAAGCTGATACTATGGCAGTATTTCTCAAATGTGTTTAAACAAACTGGAGATCTTGAAGGAACCCTACGATTCCACAAAAAGCTTATCAGAGTTTATGAAACAGAACAGAAATGCCTTTGTCAGGTTATCTGTGGGTTTTGGGGGGGGGGGACGGACAGCAAAGTATGGTGGTGGTGGTGCTCACCTTTACTTCCAGCACTCCAGAAGCAAGCAGGCAGATCTGAGTTCGAGGCCAGCCAGGGCTACACAGAAAAACCTTGTCTTGAACCTGTCCCCCTCCCCTGCAAAACACAAAAACAAAACAAACTCTTACACAAAACAATTACATATTTCACATTTATTTTCTTTCACAAGAAAATTGGCAGCTTGGAAAGAAATGAGATGAGGAGGCTTTCACAATACCCATTTATTACATGACTCACAATACTCATTTATTACATAACTCACTGAATTACTTTACAGAATTCTAGGCATTAATCTAATCACTGAAATACTGAAATAGGTAAAATATAAAACATTATACATTTTATGATGCATCTTAGTTCTCTAGTATTGTTTGGTGCAAAACAAATATGACTTGGCTTTGTTGTAGACAATTACCGATATACTATCAAGGTTTTCTTTTTTTTTTTTAAAGGGGGTAGTAGTTTTGAGACAAGGTTTCTCCGTAGCTTTGGTGCTTGTCCTGGACTAGCTCTTGCAGACCAGGCTAGTCTCGAACTAACAGAGATTCGCCTGCCTCTGCCTCCCGAGTGCTGGATTAAAGTCACCACCACCCGGCTTGCTGCTTCTTTTCTTCTTCTTCTTCTTCTTCTTCTTCTTCTTTTTTTTTTTTTTTTTGATGTGGGACTTACAACCTTAAACTGTGGCCTTTTCCAAAGTGCCAATACTGCTTGAACAAATACAAATTCACAGCTATCTCCAAGTCTAAACAATGGAAATTAATTTAATGCAGTTTGAGTCCCAGAAATGGAAACTAAAGACAATGGAAACAAACAAAACACACATACACACACACACACACACACACACACACACACACACACACACTTGCCAACTGACTGGTTTCAAACTAAACTTGGACATGTGAGCAAGAGTCCAATAGTCACCTAACTCAGAATCAGAGCCCCCAAGAAAACTGGAAAACATTCTTAGGAGACACCAAAGTTAAAATCTACTACACTCTGAATTGTGGTTGGAACTGTCTGTCCACAATTAGCATGATGTTAAGGTTCTAATTCATGGGGCAAGCCAAGACGTTTATAAACTAAGAAAACAGGTTGGGGGGGTATAGCTGAGAGAAGAGCAAGAGCCTAGCATTCCCTAGAAAGCTCTAGCCCTAACACAAAAGAGAGAGAGAGAGAAAAGAGGAAAATGAAGAGATAGGCCATATAGTTCTTTGTTGAGGAGAAAAAAAAAATAGAAGAGAACTGAAAAAGGCTGGTGACACCTGCTTGTAATCTCAGGATTAAGAGGACTGCAGTAGCTGGGCAGTGGTAGCAGCGCAGGGTTTTAATCCCAGCACTCTGAGGCAGAGGCAGGCAGATCTCTGTAAATTTGAGGCCAGCCTGGTCTACAGAGTGAGTTCCAGGACAGACTCCAAAGCTACAGAGAAGAAGGAGGAAGACTGAAGAAGGCTGCAGCTCTTAAGGACAGTATGGCTTACATAGGGACTCAAGGGAAAGAGAACAGGCATGGTTTCCCACCGTTAGTAACATTTTTGTTTACTCTTTTCCAGTGTTAGGAAATAAAACGCTTGCAGGAGACATCACTTGGACAGATGTGAAGTGACCACGGAGGGAGCTGGGTCACAGCCACTTGTTATGTGGTGGTTTAAAGGCAGCAAGCACAGTTTACGTGACTGATTCCCTTGTGCGTCTTTATTCTCTTTCATCCTGACTCATCATTTTTATTTTTCTCAAATTAGAAACATATTTTGGATTGCACAAGAGTACTCTCGACTTTCCAGGCAGACAGATTATAATGCTGGTATGTAAGAAATTACAAAGATCAGAAAAAATTTTTAAGCTTTTTTTTTTTTTTTGAAACAGGATCCTAATATGTAGCCCAAGTTGGCCCTGGAATAACTATATAGCCTAATGCCTCCACAGGACTATGATTACAGGTAAGTGCCACCATGCCCAACTTTAAACAAAAACCATCTTCTGTGGTGGAAGTTTTGGGGCTTTGTTGTCTCCCTCTACCCTATGTGTGCTGCTGGGGACCGACCCAAGGGTCTCACAATGAATGACAGTGATGTATCACTAAGCTACACCCCAAAGTCATGAGTCTTTTTTAATGTATTTATTTTAAAATCGTGTGAGTGCATACGTGTATATATGTGTGAGTGCAGATGCCCACAGAAGCTAGAGGAATCAGAATCCCTAAAGTTGGAGTTATAAGCAGTTGTGAGGCACCCTACACAAGTTCTGGAAACTGAGCATGGGTCCTCAGCAAGAGCACTACTTGTTCTTAACCACCAAGTCTTCTCTACAGCCCCTAGAAGCGTTCTGAAATTAGAAATCTGTATAACTCTTAACTATGTGTGTAGCGAGGAAGCAGATGGCTGGCTCAGAAGGTCCATCCGGTGTTCTGTTTACAACAGACCAGACAAAGACATGGACTTAGGAAAAATTAATCCAAGATATTTCTACATGTACATCAACAATTCTTGAAAAACACAGTATGATATAAAAGTATTGACAACGTTAATAAAAAAATATTGTGATGGTATGGTCATAACAAATGGCCAGGAAGGGCCACTTCAGGACTTTGAGCCCATGCCTGTCCTGGAAACGCTGGAAGAACGGCTGTGTGGCCACGATGTGCACGGAATGTAAATCTGGACAGGCCGTGGTGCTGGCTCTAGCACAGACTCCACGGTCTTCCTGCCTGTGGTGAGGACAAGTCTCAAAAGCAGCTTTTTAAGAAATTACTTTAAGAAAATCTTTGTTTTTGTTTCTACTCTACAAACTTAGAAAATGAAAACAGGTGGAAAGGTTGGTGAAGTGGAGGAGTAGACAGAACAAGTCACAATGGGCCATTTCCTAATTCCACATGGGACACACAGACAGAAATTCCAAGTGCTATTCAGAAGCCAGGCATTTGGGGCTCTGAACGTAATTAGACAAGATGTGTAAGAAGGCCAGAGGGATCTTCCAACCACTGCCCAAACACGTGTCCTTCTGTTGTCAGCAGCTCTACAGCCAGGGTCTTGAGGAGATAGGCCTAATGTACAGATTAACCCAACATCCATCATCTGCCCTCCACTGGAACTAGAAACCTGGGGAAAGTCAAATGAGAGAACCCTTCACAGTGGAGGTGACCTTAGCACAGGGAAGACACACCTACCCTGTGTCCAGAATACAAGCCAGCTTCTCTGAAAAGGTGGATTTAGATTAAAAGGCCTCATTTTGATCCATCATCATAGCAGATTTTTTCAAGTAAATAAAACTTAGACATAATTATTGCTCTTTTTCAAATCAATCTGTCTCTTCGAGGGGCTATTTTGATATTTTCCAGGCAAGAAGTCAATTTGGAAATCAATGAACCAGGATGGGCCCTGAAGATGTACAGCAGGGAAAGTGAGACTTGGAACCAAAAGTGCCAGCGGCTACAGCTCGTACGTCTCGGAGTTTGGGCTACTGGAGAAGAGAGTCTTAAAGACTGGCTGGCCATTGACTGCACCCCACATCAGAATCCACAAATTGATGAATAAGTAAAACCTCAGCATCCCATGCCCATGCCCCCACCATGGTCCTCCACTGCTCAGGCATCTTGAGCTCCGGCACTAGTGACCCTGGGAGGAGGGACAGACTCTGGGCACCTGGTGGCTCAGGAAGTGTCATATATGATCCCTGGGAAGAGCCAGCTGTGTGTGTAGACTTGGATTCACCTTACATACAGACACTCCAGAAGCTTCTACAGGTGCCTGCTTTGCTAAAACGAGTCACTGTACATATACCTGTGAACACTCAGGCGCTCTGCTAAACTTCCCTATCATCATCCCGAAGGGGAATCTGGCAGGGTGGTCAAATGTGCCTGCTTCACATTCATTATACCCAGGATGGAAAAGAACTCCAGGGCACCTGTTCCGATTAGAGATTTGCCAGAGTTGGAGAAATCACCAAACGGGTAGCAGAAACATGGGACAGCAAACCTGGAGTGGGGCAGCTCAGTGTAGCACAGGGCAAAGCAGGGAGACTTTCCCTTCATAGAAGCTCTACTCCTCCTTGGAAGGAAACACTTGTCTCTGTTCTTTCAGTCACTCTGCATCCCCAGGGTTTTGTGGCTCCATGCTAGAGTCATTGGCATCTGGAATTTCTGTTTCTTGACTGTCAGGAAACAGGAGGCTTTGGTGCCTGTCGTGGTGGTGGTGGTGGTCATAGGAAAGATGAGGTCTCCTGGATGGCATCAAGCAGACAGCAACTCCTGTTGGTACTGGAACCTGTGTTTATTCCACAGTTGGCACCACCAAGTCATTGGTGCAACTGCAGGCTGGGCAGTGTGCCCGGTTAGCTGCAGGTCATTTGTTTCCTCCTGCAGGGCTCTGTCAGATAGAAGCTTATCCCCAAACTCCCCATCTGGTGTCCAGCGAGGAACAAAAGACCTGCCTGCAGGGTCTGCCTCTCTCTTCCAGCATACAGTGCAGGAGAACAGTCTAGGCTTGGTTTCCGGGGGACACGGCATCAGAAGGAGCTCAGTGGTGCTGTCTTGAGTCCTGGGGAACCAGAGGCTCTGTGTCATCCTCTGAGCCCCGGCTACTGGCTTTGGCCAGACTCTGCATGGTCTCCTGTTGATACTGCCTGGCCTTGTTGTAGAGCAAGACACCCACTGTGACAAGGATGGTTCCAATGGCAGACAGGCTGGTGATTTTGTTGCCAAAAACGATGATGCTGAGCCAGATAGACAAGGCGTGCTTCACAGTGCTGGCGACACTATGGCAGTAGAGCAGAGAAGACAGTCAGGTGCTGGTTCACACCCACAGAGGCAAGCCTGCTGTGGCAGTGACTGACAGCTGTCACACCACGTATAGCTGCTGTGCTTCCATCCAGGGCCTTGGCCCCAAGGGGGACATGGATGAGGTATCTAGCACTGAGGGGTTTTTGCCTGCAACTCTGTCCTCAGGTTTAATCCTTTTTTTTTTTAAAGATTTATTTATTTCATGTATATGAGTGCTCTATCAGCATGGATACCTTTATACCAGAAGAGGCCATCAGTTCCCCCGTGTGTTTGGTGGGAATTGAACTCAGGACCTCTGAAAGAGCAGCCAGTGCTCTTAACCACCGAGCCATCTCTCCAGCCCCCAGGTTTATTTATTTTTTTAATGAAAAATATCAAAACGGGCTGAGGAAACGACTCAGTGGGTAAGAGCAGTGGCTGCTCTTCCAAAGAACCCAGACGGTGGTTCACAACTGTCTGTAACTCCAGTCCTAGGGAATCTGATGCCCTCTTCTGACCTCCATGGGATCCAAGCATGCACATGATATACACACATACACTCAGACAAAATACCCATACATATTAAGTAAATAAACTTAAAAGAAAAACCTCAAAGCAAAGTAGTGAAACACTGACGTATTCCCAGCACCTGGACTTGAATGAATTCTGTCATATTTGCTTTAGCTTTTTTCTTTTTTCCTTCCTTTTTTCCTTCCTTTGCATCTCAAACTAACATCTAACTCTCTAAATAGACGAGGCTGATTTTGAACTACCAATCTGCCTCTGCCTAAATTCTGGGATTATAACTGCATTATCACACCCAGTTTGGCCTTAGCAGTTTTACCCTTTCTAAAATCATTTTATTATTTCACTTTCTGTGTGTTTTGCCTGCATATCTGGATATGCACCATGTATGTACTTGGTGATCACAGTAGACAGAAGAGGGCCTTAGATCCTCTGGAAATGGGAGTTATGCATGGTTGTAAATCACCACGTAGGTGCTGGGACTCAAACCCAGAACTTCTGCAAGAGAAACAAGTGCTCTTAATCTCTAAGCCATTTTTCCAGCTCCTGTCTTAGTTCTGTGAGACAAGGTCTTGCTATATACCCTAGGCTAGCTTGACCCTGCAGTGGTCCTCCTACATTAGCCTCCTGAATGCTGGAATTACAATGTGCTACAATGCCTGTCTCAGTAGTTATTTGAACTAAAATGTTTATTTGATTCTGTGTATATTTATATGCACCATGTATGTGCAGTGCCCACAGGTCAGAAGAGGTATTAGATTCCCTAGAACTCGAGTTACAAACAGCCGTGAGCTGCCATGCAGGTGCACTGAACTGATTCCTGGTACTCTTTCAGAGCAATAAACACTTGGGGCGCAAGAGATGGCTCAACAGTTGAGAGCACTGGCTCAAATCATCAGTAATGAGATCTGGTGCCCTCTTTTGACCTGCAGACATACATGCAGACAGGATACTGTATACATAATAAATAAATATTTTTTTAAAAAGCAGTAAACAGGGCTGGAGAGATGGCTCAGTGGTTAAGAGCATTGCCTGTTCTTCCAAAGGTCCTGAGTTCAATTTCCAGCAACCACATGGTGGCTCACAACCATCTGTAAAGAGGTCTGGTGCCCTCTTCTGGCCTTCAGGCACACATGCAGACAGAATATTGTATACATAAGAAATAAATAAATATTTTTTTTAAAAAAGCAGTGAACACTCTTATCTACTGAGCTAATTTCCAGTTCCTGGAGATACTGTGTCCAGGGAAGGTGGGGAGGGCGGGCGCTCACAGTGGATCCTACTCTTGCTTCTAACTATTCTGCTTCAAACTTCTGAGTACTGTGCCACCACTCCCAGAAACACTGTGACATTTGCCCCTAAATACCTCAGCTTGCTCTCTATTAACAGAATGAGACAAACACCATGTGTACTGTCAAGATCTCTATAAACCTGAGGGAAAACCATAAGATTAATTTGTTAAGTGAAACTGACCCCATGCACACATTAGGCCCCAGTAGAAACAGTTAATATGAAATACGTTAAAATGCCTGAACTTTTTTTCTGTTAGACTGGGATTATGAATAACTTAATTTTTATACTTTTCTGCCTTGTTGAACTTTTTAAATTTATTTTTATTTAATATGAATTGTTGTTTGCCTGTGTGTATGTCTGTGTGAGGGTGTCAGACACCCTGGAACTGGAGTTACAGACAGTTGTGAGCTACCATGTGGGTGCTGAGAATTGAACCAGGGTCCTCTGGAAGAGTAATCAGTGCTATTAACCACTGAGTCATCTCTCCTTTTGAACTTTCTATGATGAGAACAATTAATTCTATGGGTTAGACATGCCTGGAGTAAACCACAGACAGAAATATTTGGGAAAAAACTGAGCCTATATTGAATGTGTACAGACTTTTTTCCTTGTTATCACTCCCTACAAGTACAGTATAGCAAGCTGGGCGGTGGTGGCGCACACCTCTAAACCCAGCATTCAGGAGGCAGAGGCAGGTGAATCTCTGTAAATTCAAAGCCAGCCTGGTCTACATAGCTAGTTCCAGGACAGCTAGGTTTGTTACACGGAGAAACCCTGTCTTGGGGTTCAGGTATAGTTATTTATACAGCAATTACACAGCATCTTGTTAGTCCTAAGGATTTAGAGGATGAGTGCAGTTTCTCTGCAAATTCCTTGTAATTTAATATAAGGAATTTAAGATTTGTGGCTTTTGAATCAGATATGGTAGTACCTGTTATGATTCCAGCATTTGGGAGAGAGAAAAACTAATCTGTGAATTTTGATATTAGTAAATGGTCCTAGAAACACTTTCCCTCAGATACTAAGGGACGTATACTTATTTATTGCTTTCACAACAGAAATAAAACGAAGGCAGTGGTGGCTCATGCCTTTAATCCCAGCACTTGGGAGGCAAAGGAAGGTAGATCTCTGAGTCCAAGGCCAGCCTGGTCTACAGAGTGAGTTCAGGACAGCCAGAGGGCTACAAAGAGAAGAGAAAAATCAAAAAGAAAAAAAAAACAACGTAAACTAATTAAAATCAAACAGAGAAAACTCTTTTGTCACTGGACTCCTGCACTGGTGTGCTCAGGGACAACCTGCGGCCACCAGCGCCCACGTGGGACACGCCAACAGCGCACCTAGAGAACTCTGACAGCGCCCGTCTGGGACACGCCAACAGCGCACCTAGAGAACTCTGACAGCGCCCGTCTAGGACACGCCAACAGCGCACCTAGAGAACTCTGACAGCTCCCGTCTGGGACACGCCAACAGCGCACCTAGAGAACTCTGACAGCGTCCGTGTGGGACACGCCAACAGCGTA